TTTAAATGTTGTTTATACGTTTGTAAAAAAGAAAATATATACATAAGAAAATATTTTAATCTCTCATTTGTTGAGCAAATGTTGTTGAGAAAAATGCATAATTCTTCAACTCATAGACGATATTGTATAGCTGTAGAGAACAAGAGAAACATGAAATGATAAAACATTGATAACGAAAACAATCATATACGAAAACCTATAAATGTATATTCTATATTGTATACTCAGTATACAATTATTGTATTTTCTGACAAGTGAAAACGCTTCGCCTCCAGACTAGTTTTCCACTTTGACGTTCATCATTTTGTCTGTAAAACCATTGGGTTTGTCAGAATTGGTTACTATAACAAAACCGAAATCTTCTTTCATTCCATATTGTAAGATCGATCTGTATATATCGTCATCTTCTGGTCGTATTAATTTCTCAATTCTGAAAAGAAAATTTACAAATATCTAGTTTTCTTTGAAGAAGTATCATCGTTGAAAATCTCACATTTATCCTTGTTTTGATGATAAAATTCGAACTTTTTGTCCCCATCTTAATAAATCTATGGTACTCGAGGCCTTCCGAAGTGCTTGTACTTCAGAGGGCTCCATGTACCAGGATAATGAACATTTATGTACTCACTTCTCATCTTCCATGATGCTTTTGTTTAGTATGCTTTCTAACATTCCTGGCTCCACCTGCTCCATTAGATTAAATATGGATTCGTAAAGATCAGCTCCCATCATGTCGATGACGACCTTTTTACCATGTCTAAAAGAAATTTTAAAAATTCAACTGACACTCCTGCTTATCAATGGTTTAATAATTTCAATTCATTTATTGACAACACCATCATACATTGGCATATAGTCATGAATACAACAATTAACATACATAAAATAAAATATCAAAGAAAGCATATCAGGTTTGTTGAAGGTTTTCTTTCCTAATATCAAAGCACTTTTTCAAAAAGTTACAAACTCTTAATAAATGGAAAAAAAAATTGTCCGATATACAGTAGAATCTCGTTAACCCGAACGCTTTACATTCCGAAAGAAGTTGGTAGGGAACAAAACATTCTATGCATGTAGTATGTTTCAGTAATCCACAGGCTTCATTAAACTGTCAAATTTCCGGATTAACAAGTCTCGACTGTACCTCCAAAATATTTATGGTAAATAACCCTCTTTTTTATCTCTCAATATTCTCTGCCAATATTTTTATGACCCAGTAATAGAGGTTTTTGGGGCAAAGAGATTTTTCCGTTTGTCTCACTGCAAGTTTAATCTTCCCCATTATACTTTTAATTGATTAAAACTATAAACTATAGTGTTTCAATTTCATAGAAAAGGCTGTTATATGATTACATCATATTTGACTGTTCACATTGACCTTGGATTTGACCCTTTTTGCAGAATTTTACAAAACTTTGGCCATAACTTTTAATTTGAGCTGTTGGTGATAGAACTTCACACCTTCATTTCCTGTGATAAGAATTTTCCTATGGTACTAACAATTTCGATCTTTTGACCTTGACATGTGGCTTTCAAAATACATGGACCTATCCATAACTTTTGAATGATTGGTGCTGGGACTTTCATATATCATATGCATATGTGTATTTCTTGTGACATTAACTTTCTTTTGGATTTAATCTTGACCTTAGAGTTTGAACTTTTTTCGAAAATCTTGAACCTTGGCCAAAACTTTTGAATGGTTGGAGCAAGGAATTTTATAATGTGATAAAGACTTTTCTTTAGGTACTATCTCTTGAACTTGAATTAAGACTTGCATTTGAAACTATTTTTCTTCATCATGAGCTTCTATACGAAGAAACAGTGTGTCCATAAACCGTATAGTTTATATATTAGCTTTTGCACCCACCTAAGAGCAGCCAGTACCGCTATTCGGGCTCTATCGGGGGAAGTCATAAAACCTTGATCTAGGCCGTTGACGTATGTACATTCTCCGTACTGTAGAAATCTTCCAGCAATTTCACTCGGATCAATAACCATTGGAAACCTACAAAAGAAAAAATTCAACTAACATGATCTGATATATGTGCATTTAGTGAAAGAAAGAGAATATTGGTATAGTAACAGTCATTTCAAGAATCACTGAATATAAATCTCAAATATAAAAGTCATGTTTTGCAATATTTCCATTCGTAATTTATAAATACATGTATACGAATTAAGATAATTAATCAGGCAAAAAAAAATTAGTCTTGTTTCTTGCTACCCGACCTACCCTATTTTTTGCACCCGATCCTTAAGTTTTTTTTTTAGCTTTGAAAAAAGAAATTATGAATTTCTGGAAATTTCATGTCACAAAACTGAGAAATTTAATTTTAAAAAGATGATATAGACCCATGACATGTTTAATGTGATCTTGTATTAGTTCATATCCAAAAAATACCTTTAGAAAAAAAATTAATGAAAAAATAAAATACTTCTCCTACCTATCTACCCTAATTTTTCAGGTTGGTAGCAGGAAACAAGACTTTTTTTTTGGCCTCACATATATCAGGAAAGCATCTATGTGCATTTTCACAATTTAGAAAAATACAGAAAAACAAATATTGGCTATTAACCACATATATAGCCTTCGGAGTGCTGAGTGAGGTTTTACCATTTGGAATTTTTGACGACTTTGTCAGCATCATTTAGTACGAACTGTGCTATCTTCTTCATTGTGTGCTCTGGAGGCTTTTCAACAGGGACTGCTGCAGCTATACATAGAAGAAATACATAGATTGAATGAGAATATCTCGATCATGTAACACATATGGTTCTAAATATCAGTTTACATACAATCTGTATACTTGTTTTATAAAGATAATGCTGCTGGGATGCCATATTATTCTCTGAGTTTTATTACGGTTTTGTTATGAAGTGCTTTGACTGGCTCCCGATGAAAATGCACAAGTTTAAAAATGTTCTCTGCCCCAAGGTATTTAGCAAAAGTACTATAAAGTGCATTATTATAATGAGCAAAAGCGCTCTTTCGGTCAAAATTGTGATATCCACGGCCATTGGGTGAGGGACTCTGTTTTAATTCTTTAATTGCTCCTTGGAAACTAGGAGGCAAACAAGGTACAAAACTGTACCAAGCAAGGTTTTCTTTTAATCAGATGTGCGAAATTCGAGTACAGAATTGTAATGATTATATACGTGAAATTCGGATGCTGGGCTGGGCACCATTAATCTTGTTGTGAATAATTCTGCAGAGAGAAGTTATTTCCCCTTTGCTATTCACGTAAGATAATTAATCACTGTTAATAATTTGACTAAGAAATTCGAAGAAGAGTGAAATTTTTTAAATGATAATGATAAATATTAATAAATACAAAATTACCGTATTTTTTACAATAATGGTTCTTCAAAGAATATGAGAGCTAATGTTATTTACGTTATGTGGTTTGGCAATTTTACATATAGTCTGCATGTTGATATTGACATTGGGAGTGCAATAACTGGCTACAATATAAGCAAGATTTTAGCACTACTCTATTTCACTGATCCTTAGTCATCGTATTTCTCTTGCTTATCGGTAAAATTAATTCATCTTTAAATTTAATTTTGATTTATTTTATACTTCTATGGATTCTTTACTGTTTTTTACTATGATTTTTCGTAGACGGAAATGTTTACAATGAAAAAATCATAAATGTGTTAGATGAGAACCTCTGGGAAGGCATAGTCAAATATTCACAAACAAACCATACATAGGTCAGGATGACAACGCTCTTCCTCATGCCTCAAGAATGGTGAAAGCCTGGAAGTTAATATAATAACATTCCAACCCTCCCATAACCTGTCCAATTTCTGATAAAATTAATTGAAAATACTTGTACTAGTATTTGGTTCCTCTTAAAAACAAGTGTACAGTTGGTGATCTGAAAGTAGATTTCAGCATCTCTGGCTATCTATTCCTTTAAAAGTACATATTTCTATCATTTCTCTTCGACTACAGTTGGTTATCAGGTCAAAAGTCCATATATTACAAAATATTAAGACAAAAATCAACGGCATAGAGGTAAGTAGGTTTTTAAATACCTTGATGTGTTTACACACAAAATTAAAAATGGCCACCAATTTAACTCACTTTTTTCGTTACCCTATACTTATCTTTCCGACTCATTTAATTATAAATTTAAAAAAATTCTGAATTTTCATGATTGTTATACTTGTGACATTCTTAGTTCGCAATCACGGCATGTTGACATAAATAACATGCATGGACATATAATTATCTCGCATGTCATCATGAATAAGTCGCATATCAACATTTAATAGTATTTTGCATGTCAATTTATTAGCATGTCGATATCAATAAGTCGCATGTCAACATAATTTGCACGTCGACATACTTGGGCTTAATGCACAGTAGCTGAGAAGATTTTCAAAGAAATATTGGATTTTTACCATATAATGAATAGGTCTTGCTAATACCAGGACCCTCACCCTGGGGTGACAAATTTCACAATTTTAGAAGAAGCACCTTTAACATAAAATTCGTCTTTTATTCTGCTTATGATATTCAACTATCTGCTTGTGACATCAAATATATAATTCGACTAGTAAGAAAACATCTTTAAGGAACTGACCTGGTTTTGCTGCGGCCTTTGGTTCTTTACTGGTAGCTTTGGGTGCCGATGCCTTTGCCGCAGGTTTGGCTGCAGTACCTCCTTTACCGGCTGTTGTTTTTACCGTTTTACTGGGAGCTTTAGGGGGCATTCTGTTATGGCTGCTGTAATATTATGTTATGTTGAAATAAATGTGTCCCTGTTCCTTAGCTTTTAAATACCCAGGTTTATGAATATGAATTTTGGTTTGTCCAAGTATTAATGACGATTAAATGTTAAATTTCCAGTGACACATTGTGATTAACGTATAAAAATATCAGTCAGGTGTGCGCAATCCAAATTATCCCTGAGTGTTGACTTATTGTGCCTTTTAATTAATTTATGCTCATTCATTGTATCATTCGACCGATTTGCATTGGATATATATTAATGCCCTTGTGTGTTTGAGGGTGAATAGTAGTAATGATAGTACCGTTAGTCCCCTTAATACCAGAACCCTGACCCTGGGTCACAATTTTCATTTTAGAATCACCCTTGCTTACAATAACTATGCACTTAGTTTATTCACTACATCTATACCATATTTCATAATTCTGGAAGAGGCATTCTTATTCATTATGCATACGTATAAAGTGTGGAGATAACGAAATTCAAGATCAAAGACCCATAAAACAATACCAAATTCAATGGACCAAAGCAAACACGGACCTTCAAAACATCAGAGGTGGGTTCAGGTGCCATGGAGGAGTGAGCATTCCTTGCCGACTGGTCACACCAGCCGCGAGCTCCTTGTCATGATCGGGAAGTAACGGAAACATCCGTCATCAATTCAGTGTAGAAATAATAAGTGCGAAAAACGTCCGTCAGCATTTGACTCAATGATAAATTGTATTTGCTGACAAGGTCACTGTATCGACCATAGAACTTACGATATGATGACTTTAAACGAGACTGCTGATATTCTTGTTTCATCAACTTGTTTGTCAATAATTTACCTCGTATTAGAAATTGTTCATACGTAGAGCATGCTCTTGCATATCGAATCAACTGAAATATATATAAACTCCGTAAGCAGGTGATGAAGGTGTATAATTGCTGAATACGCAAGGGAAGTTGACGATTCTAAAGTGTAAAGTTAGTCATCACGCGTTTATCATAGAGTTTGGTTGTTAGATTACCATTAACGTCTTTTTCAAATAAAATATCTAAATATGAAACAGATGTGCCAGACTCTGTGGTATCTTTTATCTCAAGCTCACCTGGATATATTGTATCGACGTAAGAATGGAAATAACCATTGTAAATTGACAGTGCATCGTCGATACACTATATATCTTAATGTTGAGTTGAAGGCCACGGCAAGTTTTTGATTCTTTTCACGTATAAAAGATTTTGAACAAATTCTGCTTCATATGAATAAAAAATAGGTCTGCTAAAAACGGGGCGCTATATGGTACCCATGGGAATTCAAATGGATTGTTGGAAGACACAACCACATACCCAGTAGATATTGTCAATCAGAAACTCAAGCGTCTTTTTGATGTCGACTTTAGAGTCCTTGTTTGTACAATCAGAATGTTTTTAACAAAATAAATTTGCAAATGACCAATGACAAGGTAAGTAAATTTTCGAGTTCCATTTTCATTGATAAAGCAGCTGTCAATGATATCAAAATGTCTGAACTTTAATTTATCGTGGGGAATGGTTGTACATGTATAAAGTTGAAAAGTCGTAAGTTTTAAAGCTGTTAATTTTGGTAAAATCTTTTGATTTCAGATTGTCCAAAGATTCTTTGGAATTTTTAAGTATCAACATCTGATTTACACATTCTTGAATATACTTTTGAAGTTCCTCCTTCGCTTCTGTTAATATCTTAGCGAGGAGTAAGGAAAGAGGCTTGGTTGAGCATTTACTGGAACCCGCTATGTATCTTTGTTTGTAAGGATTTCTATGATGTTTCGGAATCCACCATAGATAGTTCAATTTCATTTTGGTTCTTTGGGATCTGAAAAATATTCAAAACTGACATATGATTTTGAAGAATTTCTTCCTTACAAACTAATAGAAAGGGAACTATGAGTATAAGTTGGATTACCATTTGTGGAATTACATGGAAGTTCTCCTAAAATACAATTTATATAATGAGCCTTACAAACGAAGACAATGTTGTTACCTGCTTTGTCAGCAGGGACCAGTACGTACTGATCATGTAATCTAATTCTTTCTTCACTTCTGGATTGTACATGCTAAATTGCCAAGAGAACGACTGTTTGAGAGTAAAGAGAAGGATTTTTAAGGTAATCTAATTTTAAATTGTTAACCTCCCCCTCCTTCGGGCCCAAGAGAAAGGAACCATGAATTTTCCCAATTTTTATACCCCTTCATCCATTGATGCTATATAAGCCAAAATTAAAGATGCTGACAATTTTCAAAAGTTTACAACCGATGTACGATGACAGACAAAAAAAGACGGCAATAGACTTAGGTGACCAAAAAGTGAAATACAGTATGTTTGAACATCCCATCAAAAACTTTCACACATTTTGAGACACTGCCCTAGTCTTGTGACGTCGGAGCAGGGATGCAATTTTAGACATGTTCTCTGTACTAACGGTTTTTAAACGGTTAAGGAACATTTTCATGACTGCACTTTCTGCGATAGCACTTTCTGCGATACGTGACCTCGGTTTAAACAGACTCATCCGAAGGTTTAGGCGCCACGCCCAAGTTGGATTCTAACCCCCAAAGTTAGGATCAACTCCTGATTTGCAACTCTTACACAAATTCAGGTGACTTGTTTTGACCGAGTGGATGGTTCTTTGTCATTTGTGCGGAGGAAAACTATTTCTTCTCTTTGGTAATATGAATATTACTCGAATGTTTAAAAATTGTTATAAGTTATAAACAGGCTTCACGCAACAGAAAAAACATTAATCATATTGAAGTTAGAAAGTTTAGTAACGATGTCACAAGAGGACTAATATTCAAGGTCTCCGGATAAAAGATTTCCTTCAATCAAGAGAACGCACCTTTATATATTTAATGCATGTCAAAAAATGATAACTTTCTTCCAAATTGTGTAAGGAGAATGATTTTTCATTATATGTATATTACATTGTCAAATATATACAATTAGTGTGGACCATTTTAATTAGTCAACATCGTTACGTATTCGGTTGATGCATAATTTTCTTTATACACTGTATATAAAAGAAACAATCACCTGAAAAATCAAGTCGAGAATGTACGCATATCAAGTTTTATTTTTGCATAAATTAAATTTCCAACACAAATTAAAATTTTAAAAATACATTGTATGCAAAAAGCCTAGTTTTGCTGTGGTTTTGTATTACTTTGGTTTTGTGTATAACGAAAAACAACGATTTCTTTATGCATAGCACCATCACGGTCGCTTTAATTTATCAATTCTAAAAGAAAAATTTACAAAAATGGTATCTTTCTTTAAGATACAGAGAACATATAACTTTTTTTTTTTTGCTTTCAAATTTGTTTTTTTTCCCCTTGTAAATATAAATGCATAAAATGTGTTCAAACAAGCAACTTCCAACAAGCAAAACTTTAGCGATGCGATTCAAATATTTGTAACTTGCAGTATGATTTTGCTTCTGTGATATGATTTTGCTTCTATGATACTACACAACGTTAATATTGCACAAAAGAATCAATGGTATTGAAACGGTTCCTTTGGTTGACTGCAGGTACATTTGTCTTTTAAGAAAATATATGTACATATTTTTAATAAATAGGAGACTTCGTTTAACCCATGGCCAATATTGCGTACGTGCAGTGAACCTCGGAGATATTTCTAATACATATATGTGTCCTTTAACTCTCATTTGTATGCGTTATTTTGGGGGGGAAATACAATAACAACCCTGAACATGGCTACGTGTAGAAACATCAACAAATACACACAGCAAATCTATAATATACATCACGTATATTTACAAAACAATGTTATTGCGTTTGAACAAGTTGAATCAGACTAACTTTTCAACTGAACATGTCGTGATTTCACCTGAGCTAATACTTATTTTCCATTGAACAAGTTATATGACTAGTTCTGCACTCTGACTATCATCATTTTGTCAGTAAAACCATTAGGTTTCTCACTATTGGTCACAATAACAAAACCGAATTCTTCCTTCATCCCGAACTGTAAGATTTCTTTATATATGTCATCATCTTCTGGTCGCATTAATTTCTCAATTCTGAAAGGAAAATTTATAAATATGGCATCATTCTTGATAAGAGAAAAACATACAACTACATGTACTTTAAATTACTTTTTAATGCATAAGTTTATTTAGAAATACAAAAAATGTGTTCAGACGAACAACTTTCAATATGAAAATGTACCGATGCAAGGTGCATTTAAGTATTTGCAACTTGCAGTGAGATTTGGTCTAATTATCCTCGCAAGCCAGGGGTCTTTACCGTTGCAACGTGTTGGCTTGCGAGGATGTGTCAAAATAAAACAATTGCTTATATTTTTGAAAGCCTTTTGACAAAACTGATTAAAAAAATGCACTATTATAATAACACATATTATACATTAACTTACTTTTCATCTTCCATGATGCTTTTATCCAGAATACTTTCCAGAAGCCCGGGTTGGACCTGCTCCATGACGTTAAACAGAGGTTCATAGAGATCGGTCCCCATCATGTCTATCACAAGTTTTTTACCATGTCTAAAAGAAATGTCAAAAAGAAAATCCAGTTATAATCTATGTCTGGCTTGAACAGTTCAAAAGAAAAACATGCAGTGAACAAATCCTAGCTGGTTTGAGCATTGAACAGATTCTGCCCAAACAATTTCTGTCTGGTTTAACCAGTGAAGAAATCTACCAAATTTCAACTGTTGAACAGATTCTGCCAGGTTAATCTAGTGAACATCTAATCTAGTGCTTGGTTTCAATTGTGAACAAACCCTACATGGCTTAAGCAAAATTAAAGTTTCACCAGTGATCATATTCTGCCTCCTGTCTAGACGGTAACAATTTTCTGCCTGAATTAACCACTAAACATACAAATGACCAAATTTTGTCTGATATCCTACCGATGAACATTTTGTCTAGTTCATATCACTGATACAGCCAGTGAAAATATCTGTCTGAATTTAATATCGCATAAGATGTAAACAATTAAATTCTCTTAAGAACTTCAATTTTAGTGGTAAAGAAAACCTTTTAATACTTGATATCCCCTCTAACTCGCTCGGATTCTGTACTCACCTAAGAGCAGCCAGTACCGCTATTCGGGCTCTGTCAGGAGAATTCATAAATGCGTGGTCTAGGCCATTTATGTATGTACATTCCCTATACTGTAGAAATCTTCCAGCAATTTCACTGGGGTCAATCACCATTGGAAACCTAGAAAAAGAAACTCCCGTTGAAGCGGATTTCTTTCTTGTATATTTGGTGAGAGAGAGTGTCGATGTATTACAAGCATTAATGAAATGATTCTCTAACTTCTTAAACTTAGTTTCAAGATCAAATTTTCTTCAATAATTCTATTTATGTAAATTATAATGCCATTACTTATTTTCCATTTCCTTATATACTATAGAAATGATCTGTCATGATTGTGGATTCTCAAATTTTAGGATATCATATTATTGAACTGAACATCCTCGGAAAATAAATCGAGATATTGGCTATCCTTTCTCTCTTCTTCTTTAAATTGAATAAATTTAATTAGGGAGTTCCCCCCCCCATCCCAAAAAAAGAACATAATCTGAGTGGTTACCATTTAGAATTTTTGACGATTTTTTCTGTGTCATTAAGTACGAAGTCCGCTATCTCTTTCACGGTGATTTTCATCTCTGGCGTCTTTGTAGCGGGGACGACCTCAGCTAGAAATAGAAGCATTACGATAATGTGAGAATGTATCGATAATAAGCTATAAAGTAAATCAGTATTTGGATTTGATTCTAAATAAATAAATAAAATTCACATACAGGTTTTATGTATGAGCATTTTATTTACGTTCTTGAATTATCCTTCAAGTTTTCAACTATCTTGTAAATATTTATTACCTTTAATGGAGGGGGGGGGGGGTTCGACCTCAACAACAAAAATACATGTACATGTATTCCTGTCAGAAGATATCAGTATAGACACACAATGCACAGGCACCTGACGTTACCTGTTTTTCTTACATAAAAAATTAACATACCTAATAAATAATAATCATAAGGTATGGTGTTATTGTTTATTTATATATGCAAGAAAAAGAAAAGTACCGTCAGGTGCCTTTGACACAATGTTAATATATGTACTTTAAAAATATATACATGCATATTGATTACTGACACCTGTAAAACATATAAAATTGTTTCACTCATCTTGTCATTGTTTCAAAAGGTTTGGGGTTTTTTAAAGCAGTAGAAAGATTGATGAAATATCATGTTTAATAGGGTAATTTTGCACTTTTCCCCCGTATAGCCCAAGGAAATGATTTAGAGATACTGGGAAAGATTTTTGCGATGGTTTATCCAGGTTATAATGAAAAATCGACGAAATCGATATATTCTGTTTTTGCATCGTCGTCGAAAGAAAAACTTCTTCGACCTTCTGATAGTGCTTGTCGCTACCTGTTCGGAAATCGATTGATGTGGAAATACCCTTTTTAAAAACTTAACGTCTATTTCAAAACCGAGTTCAAAATTTAGAATATATGTAGACTCTATAATGGATAAATTTTAATTTTGAATTAAATAAATGTTTGAAATTTTCAAAATATATCTTTTTTACAGATGAACCATTCAAAAAACACCAAAAAGGAAATATGAATTAACACTACTGACCTGGTTTTTCTTCGGCCTTTGGTTTGGCCGGTTCTTTACCGGTGGTTGCCTTTGGTTTAACCGATTCCTTAGCGGTAGCTTTGGGTGCCGATGCCTTGGCTGCAGGTTTGGCTGCAGTGCCTCCTTTACCAGCTGTTGTTTTTACCGTTTTACTTGGAGCTTTAGGAGGCATTTTGTTTCTATCAGCTGATATATTCTGCTATGTTTTGTAAATGTCCGATTCCCTGGCTTTTAAATACCCACTATTAGGTGTATGAGTATCGGTATGTCCAGGTATGAGTGACGATTAAATGTCCGAATTTCCAATGACACACGCACGGGCTAAAACTGTCCTATGATTAATAAAAGTAAAAACATCAGATTGATGTGCCGGAGACCTTACTGAATCAAATTTGTCCTTGAGTATCGACTTTATTGACTTTTTATCTCATTAATTGTTTAATTGGGAAAGAGACACACAATGAATTCTTTAGCACCAGTCTGATCAATTGTCTAATATCGGATATGATGATGAAATATCAATATTTGGTTTAATTAATGTAGCATAATATGAAAGCGATTATCAATTTACCCATAGTTAGTATCGTGAAAATTCCTATTTGGTGAAATGAGAAAGCATATTATATGCAACTTCATTATTCACGACCCCAAAACCTCTTAAATGATATCAAAAGCAGGTTATGTTATCAATATTTACCGGAAATAATATCTTTAGGTAGAAGATCAATTTTGACGATGACGTCTTTATTAATAAATTTATAGTCGTTAAAGATTTAGATACAGAAAAGATACCAACCAAAAATGGGGAGGGATTATGATTTTTAAAAACATGTACATAAAAATATTATTCGTGACGCGAATAATTAATTCCTCAATGAAGATTTGGATTGAAAATTTTGCTGATCTGCTAATTATCAACTGGTTAAAGGTTCAGCCCCATAGAAACCTGGGGAGGGGCACGGGGGAATTATGTCCACTAGTCTTGCCAATATGAAATATATATTAAGAAAAAAGTTTCCATACAGTCATCCCCTCATTAATTTTAGCATTGTTCTCTCAAAAATAGACTCTGTCTTTTGCTTCGTATATATTGGGCATCCGCTGCATACCTTCACCAATATTTTTATACCATAAAGGAAAAATCTCTTTAACTTTATAAAAGCGGAAAATTATATCAGATATCGAAATGTGGGTATGATAGGCTAGGAATTCATGTATTTTCGAGATGTTTTGTGTGCCTTATAAAATTATCAGAATCGGAAAAGGGGTGGGGTGGGGTTACACCATCCATTCGTCACTGTGTCCCAACAGGGACCTATATACTAGTACTAAAATATACTTAGAATATAGGTCCCTGGTCCCAACTTCATTGGACAACAGGCTTGTCATTCAACTTGCAGTACTAGTACTACTATAATTGTAGAAAGTTTGAAGATTCATATGTAGATTTCTCATTCCATGTTGATCATGATCAGCGTTGATTCAATTTTCTTTTTAAACATATAAACAAACCAGTTAAACTGCAAATGTAGAGCATTTAAATGTCCCAGCGGGGATTCCTGATATAGAATGAGCGTTGTGTTTACGGAGTAACTGTCAAACTCGTCATACGTGGTGATTCTTTAATTTTGAAATAATGATTCACCAAAATGTCCATAATTCTTACAACTATAAATATCTGATATCGCTGTACAATGTAATACTAGAGTAAGAAAGGTCTTTATGCGATAAGATGAGGTAGGGTGCCTCTAACATGACATTTTTTTAAAAATAATTTGTCTTATCTGTCCGATCGAACAAAATTTAACACATTTCCTTCATTTAATACATTTAGGAGAGCTAGAAAATGTTTACTAAGCCTATTACTGCCATAATTCCAGCGTTACAGAAACTGGGGAAAAAACGCACCAATACGACACACTTTTTGTACAAATTGATTATTTTAAATTTTAACCAATGAAAATGCTAGATGCTTTTAGATCGCCAAGTGCGTTCCTGTAATGTTTACAAATGGTGGCTATTGAGATGTAAAAACGGTAAAAACTTTTTTTTCAGGATGCCTCCAAAAAAGCCCGTTGCAGCTAAAGCGCCAGCAAAAGCTGCGGTAAAACCAGCAGCTGGAAGGGGAGCGCCTGCCGCAAAGAAAGGAACAGTTGCACAAGGTTTGTCATTAGAATTCCTCGAAAAATTTATTATGAATATCTAGTCTGTGGTTACACATACGTAACTCTTAACCACCCCCACTCCCTCATTTTAAGATATTCCCCAGGAAACAGGATTTTCTATTTTGGATTACTTTAATTTTTTATGATTTTACCCCCTTTTGTCAAGTTTTCGGGTAAGTTGGAATTATACTGGTCTCTGGCGACCCCTTCAAAAGCAATGTAACGTCCCTGGTGTCACGTTTTTAAGACTTTTTCTAAAAAAAACCCTGCTCTATAATTAATGTACAATGTATTAATATTCATTCAATAGAGGTATTTTCTTTCTTTTTTTAATTTTCTCTAATTAATCAAATTTATAGGGAAAATATAACGTATAGTCCTGCTAGTACTCCTTTTAGCAATATATTTGACTAGATTCTGAAATATATATGAATAGGCCCATTGTTTTATATTTAAAGGTGGTGCTAAGAAAGGAGCAGCCCCTGCTCCTGGGAAAGGAAAACCTGCTGCTGCTGCCCCAGCAAAGCCAAAGGAAAAAGTATGGACAGAGAAAGATGATGCAGCATTGAAAATACAGACCAAATACAGACAATTCAGGGCAAAGAAAGCCTTGATTAAAAAGAAGAAAGAAAAAGAAGAATATGAGGAACTCATGGATAAACTGGAAAAAGAGGTTAATATTAAAGAAAGAAAATTATAAATTTTATAATTTGTTACCTTTTTTGATAACTCAGATTGACAAAGGAGTAGCAAGGGCGGATTCAGGGGGGTTGGGGGGGGAACCCCCCACTTATTGATTTTTTTTTTTACAAGTGTCATTTTATCATTTTGTTGCATTGATAAGACTCTAATAAACATGAACCCTTTGTTTGTACAACTGTGAAATATACACTACTACCAGAGACATATAAAACCATGGTTTTATATGTCTCTGCTACTACATAACAGGAAATCGCTTTCCTCTTGAACGCACTCAATACACAGGTAATCAACAGAGAGAGTGCCTCGGACATCGGGTAGCCTGTGCAACTAGTGAAGTCACAAGATCACAGTACAATATAGTTAGGTACCAACAACAGAAAACTGCAAAGTTACAGTGCTGCTCAGTAATATTCTTTTGCTGATAAAAATAAAAATGCATGTTTTTTAAACTATGAATAAACTATTATTCAGGGTTTTTTTACCGTTTTAAAATTAAATTAATATGATTTTTTTTTTTACAAAACCAGGTTGGCTTAGCAAACCCCTCTAGTTTTGACAGATTCTCCAGTTTATGTAAATTTTTTCTTCAATTAAGACATGCAGTTTAAAATTTCATTAATTGTACATGTGTATTTATATTCCAAATCATATTGACAGTATATACTCAAGTAAGTTGAAAAGCACAAGTTAGGGATTCTGAAAAGAATTTAATTTTTGATTTTTGTATCTTGGAAGTCAGCTTGACATAGGACTAAATTAATTGTACTAGGTGCATTTAAAGTCAACTAAGACAACTTGAAGTCAACTGCTTGCATTCTTAAAATTGTCAGATTTAACATTTTTTTAAAGCAAAGTCTAAAGTCTTGTGTTAAAGTTTAATTGAAAGCATTTTATTAAAAATTTGTGATGATCGGTCTTTAAAAAAGCTACAAAAAGTACCCCCAAAATGCTGGAAAATGCACCATTTAGAACCATTTAAAACAAAATTTTCCCGAACCCCCACCTATGGGAGGGGGTGCCCTCCCCCTTCGGCCCTTTGGGCCTCAAAACCCCCCCACATGAACTTCTGGATCCGCCACTGAGTAGGATTAGGCTTTGTGTAAATTGATTGATAATTATCTAGAAAAGTTAGGCAACATTTAAATTCTGCACAATCTTTGTTAGTTGTTGTATAAAACAGTTTTAAAAAATGCTATGCCTGTTAAACTTCAACTTATTCTATTAATTTCATATTCACTGATTATTGTTAAACAAACCAAACAAAAGTTTCTAGATAGAAAGACATAATGTACTCCTAATTTTTATCAACCTGTAATTCATATTGTTCGTTATAAGCATTGGTCTGCCTTCCAGTTTGATATAAGTAACACTGAAGGTCATTTCTACAGGCTTTTGTTCAACTTGTCAAAATGGAACAAGAAAAAGCAGAAAAAGAGAGACAGAAAGAGGAGGAAGAAAGGAAAAGAAAGCGAGAGGAAGCCAAGAGAAAGAAGAGAATGCTAGAGGCTGCATTTGAAGGAGATACTGAAGAAATAGAAAATATTCTCAAAGAGGTATGTATAAATATGCCTTCAATTTAGTTTAATTGTTCAGTAATAAAATTGGGAGGAGTGTATTTGTGATAATTTATATGAATGTATACACCCGAATAAACAAATTGTATTACACAATCTACTTCTTAATTTAAAATGAATAAATATATAGATATTGATTGGCAGTGATAAATTATATCTACCCCAGTACATCGGCTAGAAAAATACCCCCCTTTAAAGAAAAAGAAAGAAAGAAAAAAAAACTAATGTATCTGATATATTCTAACAGAGTTTGGATATGATTGACATAATCTTTTAAATCAACAATCATTCTTTACCCAACTCTTTGAAAAAAAAATTTAAAAACTTTGTTTAAATAAAATTCTTTAAATATCAATTAGGATAACATTATTGTTTATTTTAACTCAGACCTCCTACAAACAAGCATTTGTTTTCAGGTCAAAAGCCTTGATGATCAGAAGGGTGTGGGGACAGATGCTGTAGGGACAGCAATACGTAACAAGCACCTGATGAATGTCATAGAATGTGAAGACGCTAATGATAACACCCCACTCTCAGAGGCAGCCAGTATGATCAATATACATTTAATATATTTTGTCTAATAAATTGGTTCTTCTGAAATTCAATGGTCCATTGTTCTAAAAGACACTATATTATCATCTGATTATTACAACAATATTGTATATTTTCAGATGGGGGAGATCCCAAGACAATTCAAATGCTTCTAGACAAAGGTGCAAATCCCAACTCCCAGGGACAGTTCAGGAGAACGCCCCTCTACAGGGCAGCATTTGCGGGTCACTTAGAGGCTGTTCAGGTAAACAGCTTACCCTCTCACTAGAATTTTAACTGCAGTAACCTAAGTTCCTCAAGAGTTGGTGATTTAGAATATAGCTGCAAGTGTAGTTAATTAGAGAAAGATTTACCTTATGTGTCAACTCTCTTTTTCAGGTGTTGCTTCAGAATGGTGCTGATCCTCGCATTTTTGCTGATGATGGTCAAAATCCAGAACAGGTAAAGTGTATTTTCAGATAATGATTTCTACTGATAAAATTTCTACCAGTAGTTATGTTTTTTTAAAACGAATTTTAAACTTTATAAATTATTTTCCTTATACATGTATATTGGTTCTTTTTATTTTAATGTTTCTTCCCAGGAGCATATATATAAAGGCAAGACAGAAGTACTAGTTTGCTAAGATATTTTTACTGTAGCATGTGTTCTGCCTTAATTTGCAATTTTGTGGAACAAAAATTCAGAGTCAAAATTTTAGGAAAGAAGTAAGAGGGTATAAATCTTTTAAACATCTTCTGAACCAATATGATTCATGAGTGCATGTAGCCCATGGGGCTCTTGTTTTATTAAATGCATGAAAAATATTCTTTTATAACAGAATACTTATCAACAATACTTAGGAATTAATAAAAATATGTCTGTCATATGAAAATAAAATTGGTTTTAATTTGTAGGTGGCCTCGGTGGCTGCTGTGAAGGAAGTCCTTGGAGAGTGGGATGTGGCTGAAACAGAGAAATTACTACAAAAACTAGAGGCAGAAAAACGGAAACGTAAAGAGGAGCAGCAAATGAGGAGGGACGCAGAGACTTCCAAGTATGAAGCAAAATATTTATTTAAGGTGTTGTCAATATGTTTGAAGATTTGTCATTGGATCACAGATGTTTTAGAGCCAATCAATTTATTGGGTCTCAATTGCTCTGTGGTTTTTGAGCACTGGCACAGTGCCTCAATTACCTTGGGTAAGGGTTCCACTTGAAACTTGATTTTTCACCACCTGGGGCATATTTTTTATTTGAGTTTATTTAAGTCTTTAATATATTTTTTAAACATTTCAAATAAACTTCATCTTTTTGGTTTATTAATATTTTTTCATATAAGATTTCTAGCAATCAAAAGATTTCTATTTAGCACAATAAATTAGTAGAGTGAAGTTACAGTGCATGTTACATCTGGTGTTATTCTTTAATTAGGTTACAAGGATCTGTACAGGCAGCTCAAGAGGAATATGACAGAATCCAGAAACAGGTTTGTAACAAATACAGTGCCTTAATAAATTAACAGGCTAAATTTCACATTAATAATCAGAGGACATGGAACAGAATTTCACAAAATCTTATTTGCTACTAATGTGTGTAATTTTTATCTTTTTTTTAGTTGAGCCATGCCTATTGTGAATTAAATAAAAGAATTAATGAACATGACACAGCCATTACTTCAGGATTCGATAGACCTGAACTTACACTGCAGGTATGGGATTTGTCAGATTTTTATATAAATGAGATTATGTAATCTTTACAAGTAAAGCTGTGTGCCAAGATCTATCTAATTTCTTAAGTTACCAGTGTGTTAAATACTAAGTGAATACTGGTATTTATTTAGAATCTCAAGGAAGGAAGAGTTCCCTTCTCTACAAATGATATAATTTTTTTTGTAATGTAAATCCTTTTTTCAGGGTATACATGACCAGGAAGATGAAGTGGAGATACTGAAGTCTAAATGTGAGAAGGCAAGAGAAGCCCTGGCCAATGCTAAACTAGAGCTGCGTGAACAGATAAATGAAGGCTTAGGTATGAACAAACAGTAAATGTAGAATTTCTGAGAGAAGCATTTAAGATTTGTTTTTTAATGTACAAAATAGATGGAATTATTTTTATTGACCTTTTCCCTAAATTTATCTTCCAGAGACCAATGAAAATCTTCCAGGTATTCAGATAATGATTAAGGAACTGGATGATGTACTTCTCAGGGATGTTGGCAATAAAATCCAGGATTCTGGAAAGTATGTAGAATGTTGAATGTTTTTCACATACAATATTGCTTGTACTTCTTAGTTTGAATGTGTTACTAGGAGTTATCTCTCTTGTTGCAGATGGCCGCTGATTATTGACAGAAGTGCTCAGGCAGCCACTTTTCTGCGGTACAGAGACACAAATTATCTCAACACGCTGAATACCAAGGAAATGGAACCCAACAAAGTCAGACTGTCACTTCTTGGTGCTATCAGGTACTGGAAAAAACATTTACATATTATAATGGATGTAGTTCACAGTTTCAAACTAAAACATGCCTCTTTTCAAAACATTATTATAATTTCTTACTTGAGATAATCCATTAGTTTTATGTAAAAAGCCTAGATTGAACTTTTATTTTGTCCTCAGATTTGGCAAACCACTGGTAATTGACATGATGGAGGTAGATATGTTCCATGTTGTCAGTGACAGATTTGATGAAATCGAGAAAGGTCTCATGGACAAAATTATGGACAAAAGCATCATGCAGGAGGAAAAGTAAGCCCTTCAGTTTATTGTTGACCATTTAAAATAAGCTGTATTATGATTTTCTTTACACTTAGGTTGCAAAGTTATGTTATTTAAAAATCATTCTTTATTGTAGTTACCTGAAACTAATAAAAGAAGGAGATGGTCCCGAATATGACAAGAACAAATTCACAACATTCAGGACTCAAAACTTTAAATTATGGATTGTCACCAAGAACCCTTATCCTCCAGAGTCTTTAATAGACAGCTGTTATGCAATAAGAATTTTTGTTCCAACGTAGTACAGTCCAGTCAGTGACGATGTACCTTTAACGGGATGCAGAGCTTCCATTGTTATAACCTGTAGACATGCATTTTATCATTAGTCTGTCCTCTTTTTAAGTGTGATTGGTTTCTGTGATTGTTTATTTCATTTAATTGACTTTTTAAAATACTTGAAGCCGTGTGGACAATCCATATTCATTCCTAGTCATAAATAAAGTTGTCTATATTTATACGGATATCAATTGTTCGTGTTTTTTATTAACTTCTTTAATAAAAAATAATGTCTAATATCTGTGATCACTGCAAATTAACTTGCAATATTGTAATACAAAATGTAAGAAAGAAATAAAATGTAAAAAAAAAAAGCAAAAAAAAAAAAAAAAAAAAGCCTGATACGACATTTGGAGATCGGTACAAAAGGTCAAGTTACGGGATATCTTGTTTAACTAGTAATGCGTTTTTGAACTGTGAAACATAAATCCTTTCAATTAATAAACCCTTTAATTTCTTGAAATATTTTTGCCCTATTGTTATAAACTTCGTATGTTAGTTTTTAACTTCAGATCATAGTAAGCTAAAACAAGATACAAATTCTGTTTACCGATTTCAGCACACGCAACCGTTTCTGATTCTCCAGAACACTGGTCAAATTATTATACCCAAATTTGGCACACGATGATATAATTTAGTATTTGAAATTTCGGTTTGGATTGGATATTTGTGATTATTATACCGTTCAACGTTTTTTAAATATAAATCAAGAAAAACAAAAAGTCTGGTCTCTGTTTCCTATCACAATTACAAACAATTCTAAAACTTTTGTCGGCAGTTTTCTATAGATTTTCTATGAAATACGGAATTCTACCATTTCTGAAGTTTTTCTCGAAAATTTACCTTCAGATAATTTTTTCGAGCAAAACGCTGCAAAAACTTTGTGTATACAATCTACTGTTCTAAATCTGTCTGGAAACTATATATTATTCTTATCAGCCGACTAAATTGACTGATTGGGTTTAATTTGTTCAATGCCATTTGGTGTTTGCATGTACTAAGTACACTTGTCTTTTATTCAATTTCAATGAAGATGTATAAAACAATTTTATTATGACAACCATATAAATACAAAACATACAAAACCCAAAAATAAATATTTACAATGGAAAACTGGTTTTGTAAAATTCTTAAAGGATATTAAAAATACTTTTTATGTCAAATATAGTCTCTTTCAGCGTTTTGCCTGCATCATCAATGCGGAAATAATGTCACATGACTTGATCCAGCCAATAAGCAACTTTTGCTTTCTTTCAGCGGTTGTCTCCCTTAGTTGTGTTCATTTGAACACTGGAGCACTGTGCTCGAAGCATTTTCGGAAGATTCCATGTTGTCAATGATGGACGTGGTAAAATCTGAACCTGCATAATATACAATAATGATAGGGGCATCACTTGTCCTGTATGTACAATCTCTGCACTACAGAAAGCTATTAACATGAAAATAAACAACGTCCCTTCGGCAAAACTGCTTCCAAGCTTCTTTGTATATCCGCAATTTCTTTTTACGAATACTAAGTCTAGACTTTTTATGCTTTTTAAACTTTTTTCGCTTTTTCCTTCTATCTTTGGGTCGTCGTCTCCTTTTCTGGTTTCTCTTCCTATGCCTCCTGCGTTTCTTTTTTCGCCTCTTTCTCTTGCGTTTTTGCAGACGGTTTTTCTTTTTCTCGGGGCTGAGATCAGAATTATTGTAAGTTAGATCTGGAAGTATAGAGGAAGTGGGTGAGGGACTGGCAGCTCATTCGCCGAACTGGAGAGAATTACACACGAAGAAACACATGCGGCAGGCTGGAAGGGGAGACTACTGGACTACTACTTGTCTAATCTCCCACTCTTTATAAAAGGGAGAATCAGGGATCACTACAGAGAGCGTTGAAGCAGCGCCTTAAGTCAGACTATCGTGTCTACATCTAGTCTACTTTGATAGTTAACATCAAGGTCATGGTGATACAGTATTGCATGCAAATTTAAACGATCGCTACAAGTACATACACACAAACAAAGCATGGTACCAATTTGACGCCGATTTATAGAAAAGAGATTTTAAAATTTAAATGCATGTAAACTAGTATTTTATATACTAAATTAACTTGTAAATCATATGTTATCGGCCTTAGAAAGAAATCGATGACGTCAAAGTAATTTTTGGATTAGTTTGAAATGGATAAGCGAGCTCTATATAATTATAGAAATTATCAAAATTATTTTGTTTCTACTTTATACCTTAAAATGTATTCTTTTGCAGAACAATATCCAAATAGATGCACAGTGTATCATAAAAATAAGACGAAAATTTCTATTCTTTGATATACCAATTGATATTCAAGACGGGCATGTGGAATACATCAATGAAAGATGTTTAAATTATTCCATACTACGGTATAACATAACAAGGCGAAATGCAAAGCGTGCGCAACATCTGAAACATGCATCAAGTCAAGGATTAATGGCCAATTGGTAAGTAATTGTTCGATCAGAGCGTTCTAAGGTTCGTTAATCCGTATCTCATTTTTATCAGATGAAGGATTTATAAAACACAAGATCAGCACCAGAATTTATTTGAAGTTGTGCATACACACTCAGAGCTCAAATGACGAAACTGTGCAGCGTCTAGAAAAAGTTATCTTTTAGAATTTGTAATAAATTTGCTGTAATTACTCTGAAAATCGAGAAAAACTATAACACTGAACGAAATCAGCAACTTATTGAGGGGGAAATAAAGGAAAAATGTGTGGCAAATGTTAATTTGAAACATGTTGATTTCCGTGGTAAAACTAGATCAAAAAATTACTAATCCTTTAAACCTAAAGGAAAGACATTTAATACTAACTACAGATTAATTTTACAACATGCTTAGAATCTACGGAATGTTACATCTAATAAATGTTACCAATAAATTATGGCTTGATTCAGAAGATGATCAGTTTTTTTTCTCTCTCTCTTTAATGGTGTCTACACTAACTTTCAGTTTTAACCCGCACCCCACCAAAGTCTTAAGATTTATTTTACTTTGTAAAACTTTTTTAAAAAAATAGTTGTGAAAAAAATTGAAATAGGGGCATCGATATTTTTACATAACTTGAAAAGTGACCAAATGATGAGAGAAGCCAAAGACTGAGATCAAATTCAGTTGCAATGTAAAAACATTAGCATTTGGGGGGAAATACCTGCGCTTGGGCCATAATGCTCACATTGAGGTATATATATTTTAATTAAAAATTAAATTCATTAAAAAAAAATAAATGTCTTAACTGTATCTTTTCAAACATTCTTACATAAAATTTTGACACATCTCTAATAATGAAGCTAGGTACAAATTGAAAATTTTTTTTTGGTCACTTCATCATAACTTTGGTCTTATCAAATATTATTGAAGAATGCATAACAGTATAAAAACGTTCATAATTTTTCCCCAAAATATCATATGACCCTTTTTATTTATAAATGTCTTATTTGCATCGTTTCTGGTTTTAATTAATTTTTTATAATAAATGCAAACTTTTTTTTTTACAGAAAATGAAACATAGTGTTGGCCCTTATATTTCTTACTTTTCCTATGAATCGCAGTATTTTAATTCTTCAAGAATTTTTTTTTCAGAAAGAATAACGGAATGCAATTATCCTCACGCAAGTATCCTAACTCTTACATGCACAAAACACATTGTTAATTAGCGAACTTATTATTATTATTAATTTTTTTTAGCTATTTATATATTTTTTAAATACCAAAAAATGGCAGATTGAAAATTAACTGTTAAGTTACTTTATTTCCTGCATGTTACTTACCGACACAGCGTCTCATGTCCATGAGACAACATCGACTTTCTATGAGATTCGGACATCTGGCTCCATTTGGGGAGGGGCTCTCCAATATTTCTCGGGTCCGGGTAATCATCCCATACCGATACCCGCAGTTCTGACCATTTCTTGTACATGGGCTCCATAGCGCCCAAGGACCAGTCATACAATCGACTGAAATGTATACATGAACATGTATATATACATGAACATATTTGTCTAAAATTCATATAAATATTATTCATATTTATTTAAAATGAAAAATCATAATTCTGTTGATTGTTCCCCATAATTGCTTATTTCATAAGGGGAGAAGCCTCTTTTTTTCTCTATTAACATATTTAGATCCGCGAGCAGGATTTGGATGTAAAGGTAAAGAGCAGAAAAATTCGTGAAATTTTGTGTATATACACTTGAAGGTAATTTTAGTTCGAGTCGTAAACGGATGGCGATAGGCTATGTATAATTAGGTGGAAATATCAGAATAAATCGTCACAAGCTGTATATTTGTATGTATTAAAGTGAGAACATGTGTTAGTAGAGAGATCCTTCCATATGCCACCAGCGATAGATAGCTATCAACATTCTGTACATTAAGTTTGTTGCTCGCCGAGCATTTGAAAAAAAAAAGATACTTACAGATATTTATCAGAAGTGTTCATATTGACATTGAGATGATGAACAGTAAAAGAAAAGAAAGTAAATTGGTCGCGATTTAATTAAGTACTGCTTCAAAGGATCTGCATTAGGAGAAACAATCTTTTTACCATCAAACACTGAAATATTTTTGCCAAAAAAAAACAAAACAAACAAAAATTATTTCAATTTGACAATGACTTTTGTTTTAAACACCTTGATTTGTTTTAAAAAAAATGATTTAAATAAAAAAAAAATAAGGAATTGTGTTCTTGTCGGTAAAATTATTAACTAAACTGCACTGTCCATCGAGTATCTTTTATTTCAAAATCTAGGAATTACCTGTTTTGAACATATTTTATTGTATAAATCATACAAAAGGATTGGTTACAAGTTCTTAGTTAGAAATCCTTTCCCTGAATTACCTGTCGGTCTACAATCTTTGGAATAATTAGCGTAGTGCATTCCATCCGGGCATCTCTGAATACACTGTCCTCTGTAGGAAAGGTATGGACTCCGACATCGCGTGCAGAATCCTTGGCCAAAACAGGTTTCACAATTCTCTATCTGACATCCTTTCAAAACAGGGAAAAATTAATCTGATCCTTTTTGCTTAAAAGACAGTCTTTCCATATTTTCCCAAACATTAATTTTCTATTTTTTAAATGTCTTATGAAAACTTGAGGTCGATAATTGCTATAAATGATAATTATAAATAAATAAGTAAATAAATAGATAAATAAAAAAGTAAATAAATCAATAAATAAATAACAGGAAAAGTTAAACTATACAGCTTCTCCCTTTGCCGTCACAAAATAAATTCGGACGTTTGTTAATTTCTGAGAGAGAGAGAGAGAGAGAGAGAGAGAGATTTCTTTGACGGAGGTAAATGTTGTATTAATTGAAAAAGTTGCAGCTTGAAATGAACAACTTGAAGAACTCATCAAAATAAACATAATAGTTTCCAAATAGAGGAAAGGCAGTCATTTTAAACACGTGAGGATCAGAATAACATGCTATAATCAGCTCAGTTTAAGTATAGCATATCTTGTTATATGAGTAGGTTACTCCTTTCATCCTTGCTTAACATTCCCTGCATTCTAAAATAAGGATCAACTTATGGACCTCTCTCCTCAACGACTCATGTAATAAGCTGACTGACAAATTGCATCCGCAAGCTGAAGAAAAATACCACCGAGAACGGTTGTTTCGAGGAGTGCAGTTCATTTGAAAAATGATACTGATTTATATATCAATCATAAAAATAAAATCGATGTGATTTAAGTTTGAATATCATTTGATAAAGAAAAACTGCTCAACAAAAAAGTTAAAACATAAATAATAGGAAAGAAAGAAGTGCATAGTTCTAAAATATTCCATTTGTTTTGGAAGACGGTCAGTTTATATCTTTATACCTTTCTACAGAGGTGGGAAAATATAAGGTGAAAACAATCAGCATCTTGTGTTTATACGTCCGTACTCTTTATTGCAGTTTGAGGTTGAACAACTTATGGCCCACATTCTCTCTTTATTTAAACTGATACAAGATCAAAAGCTGTGCACGCTTTCAAAACTCTCATTAGCGGCAGTGAATTAAACCAGCAATCGACCAACCTCAACGCCACTGTCACGAAATAAGGTGCTCCGTTAAGGAATAGGGCAAGTTATATGTATAAAGTAAAAAGGAATACATTTGTTCATTTGTTTATTTGTATAACGTCCCTTCAAGAATTTTTCACTTATAATGAGACGCTGCCACTTGACGGCGGAGGGCTGCAAATTTAGACCTGTACTCGGCATTTATGGCCTTTGGTCAGTAGGGAAACTTTCATGTCAGCACCTACTGAAACACGGGACCTCGGTTTATACCTCTTAAGGATCGTTCCCACGTCCGGCAGTGGAATTTGAACCCACATCGTGTTAACTACTGCGTCACGCGAGCTATATACTAGTATAAGCAAAATGAATATATAGTTTTGTCATTGAAGAATCCATATAAATTGAATGAGTTTAGAGCATTGAATATTTTTTTTTTACTAATTATTCATTTTGGTTAATAGACTACGGATTAGTTGACGCTGATTAGCATGCATTAAATTGAAAAAAAAAAATACTAGTAATATATTTACAATCAGTGACGCATACAACCGTCAAAGTACTTAAACTATCTTTTATTTATGAATGTTATGTTGACTTTATACTGATTATATATTACTACATGCATCTACTTATGCTTTGAAGCTTTTCATTAAATACACAACTATTTTCAATATATATTGATACATACTGTAACAAATACTGTAGTTGTGACGCCTGACGCCATAATAACCAGTGGGACAGCTGTGGGTACAGACGCCTTGTTGACGCATCCCAGAACGCGCAAGGAACAGGAAGAGGCTGGGTCGACACGTGATACATCCATTAATGGCTGAACAGGTTGTACAACCGGGTGGGCAAGTCTGCCTGTATGCTACAAAATCAGAAAATACAAGATGTGTTTGTGAAACACTATGCGCCCGGCGGCAACAAATTTTAAAAAAAACATATTTTAAGCATAAAGGTCACAGTCAAGGTCACAAGGTCATTGATCTTGGTGTCATTTGAAAGATCTTGATTAGTGAAGTATGCATACCAAATATGAAGTCTCTATCTTTCATGGTTCAAAAGTTATGGTGAAGGTTCGAAAAAGCTATTTTTAGCATGTAAGACACAGTCAATGTCACAAGGTCATTGACCTTGGTGAAATGTGAAATGGCTTTGTTAGTGGAGTAGGCATGCCAAATATTAAGTCTCTATCTTTCTTCGTTCAAAAGTTATGGCGAAGGTTAAAGTTTGCCGTCAAAAGAGCTATATTTAGCGTATAGGCCACAGTCAAGGTCACAAGGTCATTGACCATGGTGTCTTTTAAAAAAGCTTAATAGGTGTTGTATGTATACCAAATATGAAGTCTTTATCTATTATGGTTCAAAAATTATGGCAAAGGTTAAAGTTTGCAAAAAAACCCTATTTTTAGCACAAAGGTCACAGTCAAGGTCACAAGGTCATTGACCTTGGTGTCATTTTAAAGAGCTTCATTGGTGGAGTAGGCATACCAAATATGAAGTCTCTTTCAATCATGGTTCAAAAGTTATGGGGAAGGTTAAAGTTTGCAGACAATCAGACAAACAGACAGAAAGACAGGACAAAAACAATATGCGCCTCGGATCTTTCGATGCGGGCGCATAAAAATTGTGTAACTCATCGATAATCTCATTTTTAGCTCTACTGGTCAGAGACCAGAAGAGCTTATGCAATAGTAATGTGTCCGTCTTCCGTTTGTCTGTAAACAGTTTTTCAAAATGCTACTCCTCTTACAGTTTTGGTCTGATTTCAATATAACTTGGCACACAAATAGACTACAAGAAGATACATAATTCTGTATATCGATTTTTTGATTTCGATGAACGATGTTTCCATGGTTACTAAAAATAGTAATTTCTGTGAAATACTTTCCTACTCCTCCTACGATTTTGGTCTGATTCAATATAACTTTGCACTCAAGTAGACTATACTTATAAACATTATTCTTTATATCGGTTTTTGATTTCCATGAACGGTGTTGCCGTGGTTACTTACACGTAAAATAGAAATTTCTGTAAAATACTTTCAAAATGCTACTTCTGCCACAGTTTTAGTTTGATTTGAATATAATTTGACAAACATGGCTACAATTAAGTACATAATTCGATGTATCGATTTTTGATTTCGATGAACGGTGTTGCCATGGTAACTAAAAATAGAAATTTCTGTGACATTCTTTAAAAATACTACGCAAAATACAGTTTTAGTCTGATTATAATATAATAAGGCATGCAAGTAGACTACACTGAGATGCATAATTGTTTTTTTTTTGTTTTTTTTTTTAATTTTGATGAATGAAGTTGCCATAGTAACTATAATTGAAAATTCTGTAAAATTTCATTTTAATAAAGCTACACGAACAGTTGTATTCTCATTGCAATCTTGCCACAAAAAGAGACCTAATCAAGGATCATTATTCTATAATATTTATTGCTGTTGTAAAGTTTCAAGTCCCAACTGCTACTTTTCTCTTCCTTTGTTATAAGACATAGTACAAACCAGTAGAGCTACAGACTCGACAGAGACTTCCGGTTTTAAATAAATGGTAGCATTTCTGAAAAATCAGTACATATGAATCCTTTGTATTTATACTCTAAATTTACTTGTTATAAATCAATTCATGTCCCAAATTTCCCATTTTATTATTTAACTGTCGTTTAATTAACATGCAACTAACTTTCATATCCACGGATAATAATTGCTGCATATTTTTCTGTACTTTTGAAAATCTGTCTTTGGAATTGTACCTTAATCTTTAAAAATCTGTTTTCGTTTTTATTATATACATGTATATATAGCTTCGGATGCAATCAGACTAAACAACCCCTAATACTAACAGATATATTATTTTTCAATGAATTCCCAAAATGTCAGACAGACGTCAACCGCTCCTGTTTGTAAGAAGGATACATGTTCGGAAGGAAATTTCATTTCGGTTCTTGATCATCTTTTGATTGTTTGGAGCTATGTACAATAAAATAATGAATACTCTTTTTGATCTTCGTTTTGTTTCACTTAAAGAGAGAATGATGATAGATTGTTGTTCTTTGCCTTTTCATTATTTATTTTTTAGACCGCGCATCTGTTGCAAGACAATCTTGCAGTCGACCGACTCGACTTGTAATTAAATTTTTGTATGGAATGCTGACAATGTCGGATAGGATGTCCCTAGAATTTTGGTAACAATCGGAAAAATTAATCCGCCAAAAACCAAATGCGTAACTGAAATTTATATTGTACGTTCCAATAACATTTCAAGCTTTAAAGTGATTCGCACCCTGATCGTCTGAGCGTTTGCCAGATTGAATAAGGAAGGGAATCGTCTATCAATAGAAGCTCGTTATCTTGGTGAAATGTCTTGATTTTATTAGGCGCTGTAACAACATGTCTCTCAGCGTTTACATAGAACTACTTTGTATATTGCAAAAGCTTAGAGCTTGTTGCTTGACGCCCTGACATAACCCACACAGGGTGCTAGCAATGAAAATCGCGGTAGCGCGCCACTAAAAGATCATTAACGTTGTTTCTTTTGTTGCTTTCTGTTAACTACACGAGGAATTATTTTAAGTGCGAAAATTTGTCCTCGTTTATTTTTTCTGCTAATAAAATTGTCGTTTTAATGTCCAGTCTTTCGAGGAAACGTTGTAAACTAATTTATAAATCGTGTGGATAATTTTTAACGCTTATTGGTCAAAATTATCGCACCAATCAGAGACTCGATTTTCTGACCAAGTTTTCTATTGCCAGGAATTCAAGAACAGGTCTTTATAGATATCGTATTTAAGTTGACCTCAGAGGTTTCATTGCAATTCCTCCCCTTTCTTTGAAACAAAAGCAAAACTCAATGAAGGGGAACTAAGAGGGGTGTTTACAAAAAAATTCCGTTATTACATCGCGATCCATTGATCTGAATGAAGACGGTGCTTCAGAATCAAAGCAGTACTCTCTGGAAAGGAACCAAACGGCCTCATAAAGATCCAGCCTGATCAAACGAAATTCTGATGTCATATTTCCCAAGGAAGATTATTTGCAGCTTGTTTACGTTTGAGGGGTATTAGTATAGCATGTGTTTGTTTGAGAAGGTGGGGTTTCCTAAAATTATAATTAGGAGCTAGTATTCCAGTATCGTTGAACTCGTATATTTGAATACCTCTATATATCACACAAGGTTCAAACACAAAGGACAAGATAGGTTTCGGTCACTTTTTGGCCCTGATTTGGGGTGTCTTTTAGAATGATTCAACCATTTATCAATAAAACGCTATTGTCATCCCTGCCATGAAATGACTATTCACTGTAAAAAAAATAACTAGTTAATGTCACGAAGAAAACCAGATTCACTGTCAATACAATCACTACCTTAATAGTAGTTTTACCAGATACTGGTATATTTACTAGATAAGATTAGTAAATTTAAAAATTGATGAGTAACTTTCACTAGGTATCTATCTATACGACCCCCGCTCCACAACTCACTATCTTAACCAGTAAACTGAAAGTTTACTAATCACGACCAACGCTTTACGAAACACACTACATGTAGTTAAATTCACTAGGTTTTTCTTTCAGTGTTGGTATAAAGTTTACACGGGAAATAGAGGTCATAGGATGGCCAGAAAATATGTCAATTTCCAAATTTTCATATTTTTATGCACATTTCACAATTTTACATCACATTTTGTTTCAGAAAACATAGAGCACAAGCTTGCCTATGTACCAAATTTATATATTTCATACATTAGTATCAGACGCCTCTTGTGTTTAAAAATCTCAGACAACTTTATGTTCTATGTTTTCCGAGGTGAAATGTATCTCAAATTTGACAAAACTCCACCAGAACTGTGTGTTCTACTTCTGCTCCCCCTTGTGTCCTCCATGCACGCTTTAAATCAAAATTAGTGCTGGTTTTAAGACAAGTATCATTTTGTGTTCTGAACTACAAACTTTCACGATTTGAAAAGTGTTATGGTTTTTGCATCAAATAAGGGGCCATCTTCGGTCATTACCTCACATTGTCCTTTAAAAACTTGAACCTGAAATATTTTCTCTAGATAAACTTTAATATACATGTTTTAAATACATTAAATTCTTGTTCAAAAAATATTTGGAGTGAAGTTTTAATATTGTTTCAGAATTTTGTTATTCGTCCAAAAGTACGTAACAACTAAATAATATTCTACTCAGTAAAACATAAAAGATTTTTAAATATTTCATCTAGAGCATGACATCTTCTGAAGAAATGATGAGTATAAGTAAGTGATTATTTGTTGTACATTCTTTAATTTTTCATATTCATGTTATGAATATCCACCCAAAAAAAAACAACAACAACAAAAAAACAACAAGTTTTCAAGTAATGGACCGATGAAATAATAATGTACACCTCCTAATAAACTTCTACAAATACCAAATATTGTATTATAGCTTTTTAAGACTTTATTTTTAGTAAGCCTTATATAAGAGTTCAAAATCCTAACTTAAAAGAAGTCCTAAATGTTTGTGAGGGGTTACGTATTCTAATCTACATTGTTGGAATTTTCCGTTCTGTTGAGAAAATGACAATTTGATCGAAGTATAAAACAGCTTTTGATTTGGATCGATTTTTTAAAATCATTATTCTAATGACCATGAAATAAGGTTCAAAATTCAAAAAAGATTCAAAACGTATCTTATGTTTGCAATATTGTATGATAAATACTGTAACTAAAGAGTTACTACCCGTAAACAATCTTCACAAAAAATAATGTTTTCTTATGTTCAAAAAATGTAAAGGGCCAAGGACTGTCACCCTGTACCAGCTACTTGTATATACCGTAAATCTGGAAATTTTTACGTAGATTTTATTTTGCG